AGATGAACTGTGGGACGAAGACTATGTACCTGCAGATATTGAGATTCCACCGGTCAATGACATGAATTTGCGCAAGAATGATGCAATCACAGATGAAGAACTTGAAGAACTAATCGAGGATGCAGCCGAAGATATATTGGAATCTAGAAGAATTGATGATAAGAGACAACATGAATATGATGAGGCAGATAGAACTGTCGACCGCATGCTGCAAAGAATTAAAAGACGTCAAGAAGAAGACAATGAAGACGATGAAGACGACATGGATTTCGTGCAGGATCAGCAACCTGAAAGCGATATTGAGATGGATATCGATGATGAAGAATTAAAAGATATGATTGATGAAGTAGCCCGTGAGTTAGATAGATTGAGCCAACCCATTGAAGAAGAAATAATGTTCAGCGTTGAAGATGAAGACGATGACTATGAGGGTGAATATGATGCAAAAGAAATAGAAGAACTGCAAGAAGCAGAAGACGAACCGCAAGTATATCCTGGCGAGGAAGATGATGTTCGTGCAGGAGTGAGGTTTGAAGAAGTCCCCGTGTTGAGTACAACAGATGATTCAAATAAAGACAAAAAAGGAGAACACAAAGTGGACGATCATTTTATTCAAATGGAGTCAAGTATCGACCCACAGATAGGAATCGAACTGACAGACCAAGATATGGACAAACGTACTTACAACGAAAGAAGCCCAAGACTAATTTGTTAAAGAACAGGAGTGCCATGAGAAAGAAGGCACGATTGAAGAGATTGCGTATCTCATTATACTAGGCTATCGCGTCAAATGTAAAATCACAAAAGAAAGGAGAGTTTCGAGATGACAACGTGTTAAGTGCTGAAGCAAGAAGAAAGATAACCGAACGGGCGCATAACTTAAAATGTTCCAGCAGAGTGGAACTGAGAAGAAAGCGACTTACAATGTGGATGACTTGTTGGTGATTTCACGCGTCATGCAACAGATTCGTGATGAAGTGTACACAAGGGATGGAGTGTCATTTATTCAGCAGTATTATCTTAACAAAGGATTGAAAATTTTCAAAGAACGAAGAAAAGAAGCTGCGCTCAAGGAACTTGATCAACTGATCAAACGAAGCTTTGGGAACCACACGGCGGGCTCGGGCCATCATGATCATTGCTGGATCATTGGACATGGCATCCAGGCTCTGTTGAAGACCTCTCTTTTCTGCGTCAAAGATGATACACAGGTCGGTGAAACGTTCTTTGCAGTGCTCAAAGACGTCTCCTTCGACCATAGAATCGACCATGGCAGCTTCAAAGTGAAGTTG